CAAAGCCGAGCCAGGGGCCCCGGAGCAAAGGCTGCCCCGAGGAGGCTCACCACTCTCGGGGTTCCCCGGTGGCCTTTCTGCCTTTTACTTGGAGTGACCTTGGGCGTCGGCTGTCACCTGTCCATCCACCCAGCTAAGGGAACCGATAAATGCTCATTCATTCGTTCACTTCGCTTCTGCCATTCAGCCAAACCCCTCCACATAACATGTTCACCCTACTGACCGAGTAACCCACGCTCCGCTGGCTCCCTCTCTGACCCGCTCCATTTTGCTGTTTACCCACCCACATCCAGCAGGCATCCATGCACCCAGACATGCCTCTCATCCCCTCCTTCACAACCCCCACCCCCAACTCCCCAACATCCTCCCCATCCATCCTTTCCACTGGAATCTAAGGCAGGCCTCCCATTTATCCAGCCACCTCCAGTCACTCAGCCACACGTCCACCCATCTACACACACATTCACACGCTCCCATCCTTCCTCTCACTCCTCCATTCAGTTATCCAACCACCCATCCATTCAACCGTTTATCCGTTCCTCATCCACTCATCTTCTGCATTCATTCAGCTGATCCCACCCACCCAGCCATGCTTCCATTCACCAGACACCTGCATCCACTCAACAACTTCCACGCCTCCGTAACTGGAGCAACATCTACCTCCACACTGCCATCCAACAATCCCCCGCACTTGATGCATCAGCCCCCTTCACCTACCCAGCCACCCCCGCCCTGTCATCTACATTCAAACTCCGCCACATCTTCTCATTCTATATATGGCAGAGTCAATTGGAATACCTCCGGAAATGGACAGCACTTACTATGCACATGGTATCTTTAGTAGTTTACAAATGTGGAACCTTAACAACCTTATAAAATAGACACTGTTTTTATTTCCATTTTATATACTTGCTTTTGGCACACGTTAGGCAAGCACTCTACCACTAAGCTACTTTTCCAGTCCCTGAAAGTTTTACAGAGGAGCTAAATCTGAAGCTCAAGGAGATGAGGGTGATTTGTCTAAAGTGACCGGACTTTTTTTTGTCTAGTATCCAGTCTCTAGTCTGGTCAATTTTCCTACCATCTTTACCCTGGGACCTGGATTTTTTTATTCTATGCTGGGCATGTGCCTTCTTCCTCCTCCTGCCCACAGAAGTACTATCTTCATTTTTTTTTTTTTTTTGTCAGTCATGGGGCTTGAACTCTGGGCCTGGGCGCTGTCCCTCAGCTCTTCAGCTCAAGGCTAGCGCTCTACCATTTGAGCTACTGTACCACTTCCAGTTTTCTGAGTGGTTTACTGAAGATAAGAATCTCATGGCCTTTCTTGCCCAGGCTGGCTTTGAACCACGATCCTCAGATCTCAGCCTCCTGAGTAGCTAGGATTACTGGTGTGAACCACCGGCGCCTGGCACTATCTTCATTTTTGTTTCACAAATTGAGCGTGAGTTGCAGGGACAGCAACATGACACCACGAAAGGCACTGGACCTGTCCAGTGCCTGTAGCGACACCATTGGCAGCCATAGATGGACTGGGATGCTGGTGGAGGTAAAAGTGAGGTAGACCTGGCAGCAAATCCTGGTTCCTCCATCTTCTATGGGCAGGAGCCTGGGGAACCCTTTGCCTGCCCTTGTGACTTCAGTTCCCCCCATGTGGTGTCGCCATTTCTTAGCTGTGGGGCCTTGGCCAGTTGAGTGTCCTCTAACCTTAGTCATCTCATCGGTAAAAAACAGAACTGGACTGTGGGTTGAGAAGGCTGGCGGCACAGGGGACAGGGGTTCCCGATCCTGCTATGGAGCATGTCCCTGGGGAAGCAGAAGGGCCTGGGGACCAGAGTGCAGGATGTTTATAGGACGCATTCTCAACTGATGCTCCTAAGGAAAGGAGAAGCAGGATAGGATAAGGGGGACTTGGCAGTGCAGTGTCTCTTCATAAAGGTAAGGTCTCTGAGAACCTCGCGGGGCCCTTGGAAGTGGAAATGAGCTTCACAGTCTTCCAAGGTTAGGGGGAGGGACCTACATCTTCATAGCCTCTGTATGGGATGCAGGCTGCCCCTACCTGACTCTCTCCACCAAGGGCAGTCCTGGGGAGCAGCTGCAGGTGGAAGAATCAGGGTGGCATAGGACCGCATACCAAATACAGGCTCCACAAAGGTCATTATCTGATCATTAGTCAGTGAGTTTATTTGTCAGAAGTGAAACTGAGGTGCAAAAGAAAGAATGCCCAACGCCAGCTGGAAGCAAGAGGGAGAAGACTTCAGTCTCTGGCTTTCTGCTCCAAAGCTTTAACCTGCACGTCATGCTCTCTCTAAACGTTACATTGCTGTGAGTTTGGAACAGTCAGTATCACGAAGAGGGAAAGGATTTATGGGTGATATTCTTAAAACTTCTTGGTTATGGCTGCTCTGGCTTTAACATTGATTTCCTCTGACGTCGGCTGAAATGTAATTGCCCTTACAACAGTAGGAGGAAGTGGATTGAGAGGTGGTTAGGTACCAGAGCTCTGCCCATATGGGTGGGACTAATGCTGTTATTGAAGAGCTAGTTTGGCCCTTTTTGTCTATTGGCCCTTCTAGGATCTTTGCCATATGAGAACCTGCCCTCTCCTCTGGAGGACATTGTGCGCCAGGTGCCATCTCAGACATTGAACTTCTCTCCTGGCACCTCGACCTTAGACTTCTTAGCCTTCAGAACTATGAACCAATACCATTTTATTCATTGTAAATTATGCAGTCTCAGGGATGGTATTATTGCAACACAAGTGGAATAAGCTACAGGAACCTGGCTTATGACCAGGTGACCAAATATTTATTATCTAATCCTGAACACTTTTATAAGGAAAAGGTGTGTGTGTTTGTGTGTGTGTGTGTGTGTGTGTGTGTGTGTGTGTGTGTGTGTATGTGTGCATGTGCCAGTGCTTGGGCTTGAATTTAGGGCCTGGGTGCTATTCCTTAGCTTTTTTGCTCAAGGCTACACTCTACCCCTTGAGCCACAACTCCACCTCTGGCTTTTTGGTGGCTCATTGGAGATGAGTCTCATGAACCTGAGATGGCTTTGAACTATGATCTTCAGATCTTAGCCTCCTGAGTAGCTAGGATTACAGGTGTGAGCCACTTGTACCATGCATACAACACTTTTTAAAAATGAAAGCTTTATGTCACAATGATTTTGGGTTCACAGAAAAGTTGTAGATAGTTACAAAGAGCTATCATAACTTTCTACCCCCATTTCCCCAGTCTTGACTACATACATCACTGTAATGCCCCCTCAAACCCAGTAGGTACACATTACCATTTGTTACACTCTAGACTTTATTTGAATTTTCTCAGGTTTCCCACGAATGGCCATTTTCCATTCTAGGATCCCAAGGTGAATTAAATTGTCACAGCTTGTCAGCCACTGCTGATTTCTCTGTCTTTCCTTATTTCTCTTGACCTGGAGCAGAGTCAGGCATTGTGTAGGTACCCCCTCCCTCCCATTTGGTCTGATATTTTTCTCTTAATCAGATTGAGGCTGGAGGTTTTGGAGTCCACCATGGAGATAAAGTGCCCTTCCCACTATATCATACTGGGTACACGAAATCCAAGTGACTCCTTGCTGCTGGCACCCGTCTGGGTCATGTGACTAAGGTGGCATTTGCCAGGATTCTGCCATGTGAGCCACTGGGTTTTTGTTTTTGTTTTTCATAGTCTAGTCTTCGGAATGCAGACATCATTCTGAGGGATTGTAGTCTGGAATTAAGCTTCACCTTTTGTTGGGGGGGTTGCTGGGGAGGGGCTACCCACATGTGTCTGAAATTCTTCCATATGGAAGAGCATCTCTTTGAGAACCTATCTATGTATTGGTTTGCTTGTTTGTGTCTGTAGTGCTAGGGATCACGTGTCAGTCTACACGGAGAACATCTTAGATTGTGACACTGAGTGCATGTGGATTATGACAGGCAGAAATCAGGACTGTCCTGGGTCCCCTGGGACATGAGGAGGAGGAAAAAGCTTGGGTTCAGCATTTAGCAGACCGTGAAATGAAACATCAGTGCTCCTTTGGACTGGCTGTGTGACCTTGCCCAAGTTACTCCACCACTCTGAGCCCAGGATCCTCTTTCTTCACAGTCTTGTTAGGAGGAGGAGGAGGAGATGAGCTCATGTCTGGCACAGCGCAGCTGGCAATGAAAACAGCTAGCTAGCATCTACCATGTTTGGCTTCCAAGGGAGTAAAGGGACACGGGAAGAGAAAGAGGGATTTGTTTCCCTAAGTTCTCCTTGCAGGAGAAAACCCTGCCACCCCCTTGGTCCCCTCACTTTTCCTGCATCCTCGACCCTGGTGGCATGGAGCTCTCCCTGGGGAGCTCCCCAGGCCTGCTGCCGGCCTGGGCCTCCAGGGTCCAGCTGGTGCCCGGCCTCCCCTGTGCTGGCCTGGGCCTCCAGGATCCAGCTGGTGCCCGGCCTCCCCTGTGCCAGCCTGGGCCTCCAGGGTCCAGCTGGTGCCTGGCCTCCCCGTGCCGTGTGTGGGGAAGCCGGGAGAGATCGGGAGTACTCACGAGTGCCCGGGCAGAGTCCTGGATGCCCTCGGGCTGGTGCCACGTGGGAATGGCTGCCTGGCCCCAATTCAACCTCGGACTGAATTTCCAATTAAGGGAGTTTTGGGGATGAGGCAGAAACACAGGGTTGTGGCCACTGTCTTCCTCTGAGACTCTTCTCCTCCCTGGGACCTTAGGGAGCAGAATGGGCTGCAAAGGGACAGGAAGTGTTTCCAACAGCCCTTGGGACCCACTTGGCTTGTGTCCACGGTGGCTTGCAGCACGTAGGAGCAGGATTGGGTGGAAGATGTCAGCTGGGGTTCTGTGACTGACATCAGGACATCTTTCTCGAGGAAAGGGAGGTGCTGACACATCTCACTCCCGAAACTGGACTCTGGGTGCAAGAAGATTCTAGACCTGCCTTCCCAGTGGCTGCACAGAGAGAGATGTGCGCGAATGAGAAGCACATAGACAGTATGGAAAGAATGTAGAGTAACCTGCTGAGAACGTGGAAAAGATTAGCTACATGTTGAAATGAGTGTTTATTAGACATACTGAGAGGAAAATATATTTTATATATATTTATGTAAACAACTAATTTTACCTATTGCTTCTTATTTTCCTTTCTCTCTCTCTTGAAAGTTTTTACTGTATAACTTAGGCTAGACTTTTTTTTGTCAGTCGTGGGGCTTGAACTTGGCCTGAGCGCTGTCCCTGAGTTCTTCAGCTCAAGGCGAGTGCTCTACCACTTGAGCCACAGTGCCACTTCCGGTTTTCTGGTGGTTAATTGGAGATAAGGGTCTCACGGATTTTCCTGCCTGGACTGGCTTTGAACTGTGATCCTCAGAGCTCAGCCTCTAGAGTAACTAGGATTACAGGTGTGAGCCACCAGTGCCCAGCAAGGCTAGACTTTTACTTGTGATGCTCTTGCCTTAGCCTCATAAATGCTGGAATTACAGGCATGTACCACCATACATGACTTTGCTGTTACTTTTCCAAATCTGGGTACTAGAAGAAATATTATTTATGTATGTAGTTTACATTGCACCTTTCCCTCCCTCCCCTCCCTCCCTCCATTCCTTCCTTCCTTCCTTCCTGGGCCAAGGCACTGTCCCTGAGCTGTTTTGCTCAATGCTTATACTCTACCACTTGAGGTACAGCTCCACTTCTAGAATTTTGGTGGTTAACTGGAGATAAGTATCTCAGACTTTCCTGCCTCAGTTAGCTTCAAACCTCAATCCTCAGATTTTTAGCCTCCCAAGCCACTGGCTTACGTTGTGTTTTCATTGGACTGTGTTGCTGCAGATCCATTAAAGCTCTTGGAGAGAGGCTAAGTCCTTCACTGACCAGAAAAGGAAACAGAAAGGGATAAAGACAGACCCACATGACTAGGTGATAGACAGGGAGCTGGGCCCAGCCTTCTGATTCTGCATCTAAGAGCTCTTTATGTAATGCCTTTTATGGTCATGGGAGCTGGGTTAGGGAGGTGCCTACGCTTTCCTGGTTGTCACACCGGCCCCCTGATAAATGGCTGCTTCTGCAGGGATCAAGCCCGTGGCTGAGGGTGGGATTCTGGCTGCCTCTTCCCTGCTTCTCTCCAGCCTTCAGTTCTCCCACTCTAAAAAATAAGAGTGATGATACTCACCTCAGAGGATTCTCAATGAAATCAGAGCTTGTATAGGAAGCCCTCCTGTGTAGGGCTGGCGCGCAGGAAGTGAGGGCTCCATTAATGTCACCTTTGATTATCATTAGTGTTAGAGGACGTGATACCTCCAAGAGTTCCCAGCTGGTCTGTGGGGTGCGGCAGACTCCTTAGGTTTTGCACAGAGATGACATCACTGAACACAGGGCTGGCGTCTGTCTTGGGTCTACCTGCCCTTTTCCACCTGTAGATCATCCTGCCTCCACCCTCCACCCCAGGATGAGTCACTGAGGAAACTGGAAGGGAGGGGTGGAGGCTGGTGAAGAGGCCACTAGGCAGCCTTGGCCAAGTGAGGGGGTAGGATGGATCCACCGGGTGCCCTCCTCGCTCCAGCCTTGGCCTCCGTGTTACACAGCCTCTTGATTTCTCAAGAAAAGCTAGAGATTTGTATTTCCTCATAAAAATCTTGTCCTTTTTTGACTTTTTATTATGGAAAAAAAAATCAAGCATATTAAAAAAACAAGCTGGTACAATGAACACACATGGACCGATTCATTAATTAGATGTAACAGTTATTGGTAATTTAGTCATATTTGCTTCATCATATATATATGAAATATATAAAATCATATATATGATTTATATATACATGTTTTATTCTTTTTTTCTGAAATAGTCTAAAGTAAATGTATGTATCATGAAAGACTTCACCTTAATTACACCTCTACAGTGGAAGAGTATTGGTTACATAACCCTAAAACCATCACCGTACATAACAGATCAGTGATAAATAATTTCTTTCTTTTTTTATCCAGTGTGTTTCTTACGTGGTTGTTCAAATGAGGGCTTATCTTATTGTGATTTTAATTTGCCTTTCCATGGTGAGTAATGACATGGAGCATCTTTCTTGTGCTTATTAGCCATCTGTATAGTTTCCTGCAAGAAGTGTCAGCTCAAATCTTTTCATTTTCCTCCTGGTTCGGGGCCTTGGGCTTGAACTCATGGATTTGTGCTCTCACTTCGCTTTTTCACTCAAGGTTGGTGCTATACCACTTAAGTCACACCTCCACTTCCAGATTTTTACTGAATAGTTGGAGAAAAGAGTCTCAAAGACTTCTCTGCCTGGTCTAGACTCAGCCTGTCAGTTACTGGGATTGTAAGCGTGAGCCATTGGTGTCTGGCTCTATTGGAATCTTTGCCCATTTTAAAACTGAGTTTTTTTTTCTTTTGATGTTTTTGAGACACTAGCTCAATACTTAGCCCAGTTTGGCCTGAAACTCAAGAATCTTCCTTTCTCAGTTTCCTGAACGGTGGGATTATAGGCATGCATCACCATGTTTGGGCTATGTTTGTCTTTTTTTTATTATTATTATCAACAAGTCCTTTATCAGATATGAAATTTAAGTGACTTGCGAGTGCTTTTCCTCATTCTTTGGCTTTAGATCTTCCTTTCCCTTCCCTTTCCCTCTACTCTCACATTTTGTGCCTGGGGCTAGCCTGAGACCAAGCTCTTGCATAGCTGGGATCACAGGCAGGACGCGAATTCCAAGGCATAACAGAAGCAGATAGCTGCATCCCCTATCACACACTATGCTTTTCCTATGCATCATGCCTATGGGGAAGTTTAATTCCTAGACTAATGAGATGAATTAGAGATGAATTATGATGACTCACAATAAAACAGCACAGTTATAACATGGACTGCAATGGAAGTGAATTAAAAACTTATGAATTGATAGTATCTGTATCACGGTTCATTTGCCTCCCTGGGGATGGGCTTGAAGGAAGGGAAAGGCCTCCAGCCCAGTCTCCCTTCTCTACACCTTCTCTGCAAACTGCCAGATGGATAAACTCCCTGTGCACCCAGTGACTGAGGCCCAGGGCAGATGGAATTTCCTGAGTTGTCAGGACAGGGTTCTTGCGACATACACAAGGCAGCTGCGACTGCAGGCTGAGAGGTGTGGGAAAGAAGGAGGCGCTTGTCTGGTCCCCAGTGGCCCATGTTAGAACTAGGGAGTCCGTGGGTCTGGGGAACTCGGGCCTCAAAGCTTAGAGAGCAGAGAATTAGAACAAAGACCTTGCTGGGTTCTGTCTCTCTCATGAAAAGCCAGTTAGTTTGGAAGGTTCCCACCTGGGAGGTGGGGGCCATTGCAATGTACTGGTTTCACAGGGATGATATATGTGGAGGCTTAGCAGGGGCAGGCACATGGACAGGGCCACCTGTCAAACTGGGTCCCAGCAGGGAGGACTGTGGAGGGCAGGGAGAGAAGGCTTGATGGAACCCCCAGTGAATCTGGGCCCCATTTTTGACTCTCATGGGCAAGGGACAGGGCTTTGTGAGGCAGGCAGATTTTTGTCACATCCACTTGGGCACTGTGACCTGGTCTTCCCATTCATCCTCAGGCTACCTTTCCCATCTTGACTTTTAGTCT